ATGGTGCCCAAGCTCTACAAAACAAATAGAAACAATAAATGCAAACTACATTTGCACATATTACTCCAGAAATTCATGCACAACTAACTACTAAGAGAAACTGGACAAATTACGATCATGTCGAGGAAAGAGTATACTCCATTTTATTCTTCCGACACAGAAATCCAAATCAATTTGACCAATCTAAGATTATGCTAGATCATAAGAGAAGCTCACATGATCTAAGGCGAAGTGTTTGGCCAGCGCTGATGCTACCAACTGCTTCCTATCCAACGCAGAACCTCCATTAGCAACCATTTCCAAGCTTTTTCAGTGATGACTGATCGAATTTTCTCCAGTGAAAAACAGTCGATGATCCGCTGATAGGGTTTTTCAGAATCTTTGCCGATTGCTGGTAATGGACTTTTCAAAGGCGCAGCCCATCAAAAGTTTAAACTGGCCCAATAACAGCTTTCTGTTCTACGAGTTACCTTTGGTAACCTTTTTTTCTTCTTTTTTAATTGTTTTTCATTTCGCTGTTTATTATTTCTCGTTTCTTTTTTTTTCTAATAAAGAAAATAGGACTTTATTTGATAATTATTTGTTAATTTTTTATGTCTTTTTTATTAAAAAAACATACACATGCTTCGTAATTATTTATTGTTTGTTGTTATCTATAATTTTTAAATTAAACATTCAAAGTTTTATGTTTTATTTATTCTTTAAATATTTATTATGTGTCTTATAAGTTAAAAAAGATAAAATAATATTTTTATTCATGTTTTGAAAAAAAAAATTGAAATAAAAACAAGCAACTCGATTTTGTTGTTCCGAATTTTATACACAATTTTAAAAACGTCTTTTAAAAAATGAGAACGACAAATAGGAACAATATTTACTAAATGCTTACCTTTCTCAAAAACTAAAAACTATAAAAAAAAAATTATAAAAGGGATCCTAAATTACAAATTTAGGTCTCTATTTGTTTTTTACAATTTTTAAAAGTTTCAATTACACTTTTAAGCTTTAAATTACTATGTATTTTCTCTCCCAAAAAATAGCATTCATTTTTTAATATGTATTCTTATCAGAGATAGGTGACTTAACCACTTGAGCTATGAAAATTCAGAGAAAATTTTTAATGACATAATTTTGAAAACTTCTACTACATTCAGAGAAAATTTGAGAATTTAAAAGTATTAAGGACGAGGATTTTAAAATAAATAGTTTACCATTTTATTAGAATAGTTAATTTATATATTTTAACACTAGTTATGAATTAATTGCTCCCTTTTAGATTTTTGTATTGATTTAATCATGCACATTTGTTTATTACAATAATATTTAATATTATAGATCAATTTTTATGTGTTATAAGTATTCAATGCTGTCCTTGTTGAAAATGAACAACAGAGAACTAATTTTTTTTATTTGTTATTTTGCATATAAAAAGAGATACCTTCAACTTTATGTACTCTCTACTCAAAACTGTCACTAATGAAGTTAATAACAATAGATTTTGAGGGTAATTATTTCATAAATTTAGGGACTTAATTTCTGCATTTAAAAGTTCACGACTTTTATAGTTCAATGATAGGTTTTACAATTTTTGTCCCAAATATTTCAGATTATAATGAAATTCACACCTATGAGTAAAAAACGAGAGAATCATTCCTTCCGATTCAATTGAAAATTTTGTTAAATCTCTTGGGATACATTGACTCACTAATTAGTCAAGCACCCTCTAAGGACACAAAGTCGAACCTATATTTGATATGTGGATTAGTTTATTCCAAAATAAATTGTTTTTAAAATATTACATCATCATTGCAAATACATACGTGTAGATTCAAATCTCGTTAACCTAGAGTACTATATAAATTTTGTTGTTTTTAATCAATAAATATGAGGGTGAGAGATCAAACCTTCAATCTTAAAAAAACTGATAGTTACATTATATATAAGTTATATTCCATATGAACATGTGCTATATAAATTTAGGTTAATTACACAAATTCGTACTCATGATATCTAACATTCTATATTATATGCACCCACGAACCAACTCCATGTTACATAAATTCTTTGTGTAGTAATTTAAAATATTATAAACCAAACTTCCTAATCTCAAACTTCATAAACTATAAACTCATACTCGTTAAATATTTGTAGGGACTATATTACTATTCAAATACTCACTCTTATTGTCAATCTAAGCATTATTCAACTGGTTAAAACATATAATCTTCATCCCACGTGTCGTTGAACTCAACCAAAATAAATAAATAAATACTCATCTGTTACTTTTTTTTTTTTTGGTGACATTTCCTTTACTCATGTTTTATTTTTAAATTTTGAAGGAACACTTTTGAAATTCAAATGGCTACCTAGTGTCAAGATTGGCATTCTTTTTAAAGATCCTCAATCCAAAAGTCTTTACCTTGTTTAGAAGGTGAAGTACAAATGGCTCCTTCAACCATTTAATGCCTCACTCTAATTGATTTTGTTTGAAAGTTTTACAAAAACATCCTCTACCAATCAATGCCAATGGCCAACCAAATTATGGCTAATAAAAGTTTAATCAATTTGATTGACTTGTGATATTTATGGCATTTTTTTTTAAAGGGAATCCTATCAGATTTCATATTTTATTTTGTCACTAAACTTTCAAATATTTTATTATACTTCTCGTAGTTTAAGTTGGATACATATATAACTTACTACTTACTCAAGTCAATAATCCTACCAACACTTGTTTCTAAACACTTTCTTACCCCATTCATTTCTCTTATTTTTTATTCAATTATAAATCTTAGTACAATTAATTAACATAGTTATTGAAAATATTAATTCAATGTCATACAAATAGAAAATGTGTCACATATTCAATATAGTAATAGTAAAGGCAATTTGTGAGGTTTGACAGTCTACATGAACCAAATTGAAACTTTTGAACCATAGAGACTAAATTAAAACTGAGTTTAAACTATAAGAACTAAATCGAAAATTTTGAAACCGTAAGGACCCAATTAGAACTAAGCACAACACACATATACTAAAGGATAATACTCGGTCAATACTAATGACCATTATGTTTTTGACAACTATAAGAGAAGATTACATAAAAGAAATTTATAGTGAACTTTTAAGATACCAACGGATCAATCAACACTTGAGCATTATTTTATACTAAAGCCTTATGCTTTTAGCCCCTTATGTTTGAGTTTTTTTTTCTTCAATTTAGACGCAATTGTTTAAAAAATTTCAATGTGATGTCTTGAGTTTTAATATTTTTCAATTTATTCTTTCACAATTAGTAAATGTTAACATTGGCTGATAATAAATTTATATTAAACTTATATGACATAATACTCATTGAATTGACATAAATTTAGAAGATGAAAATTGTGATCTAAGAGAAGAAAGTTTCTAATTCCTCCTCCAAATTTCTAAGAAATTTGTGAAAATTTTGAATTTCCTTCCTATGATAACTTCTTTTTCTCCTCTAAATTTTCATTAATTCACTGAGTATTATGTCAGGTAAGTTTACTCTTAACCAATTCTCACATTCACCAACAGTAACCTACGAAACTAAATTAAAACCTTCTAAACAATAGGGACTAAACTGAAATCGTCCCACCATTAGAGACTAAACCATATATTTGATGAGGAAAAATCTCCTACTTTTACGGCAAGAATAAGCAAAAAATAACTTATAAATTTAAAGAAATCAATGAAATAAGAAAAACAAGAATTAACATGAAAAACTCTAAATCGGAGAAAAAACCACAGCCCACAAAGAGAAATCCACTACTTGAAAAATTATTACAATCACACAGATTTTTCTCCCTGATCCCAATTACACAAAACGCTCCCTCAAAGCAAATACCGCTTAGTTAACTAAAGTTGGTCTACCATGCTTAGAAGTAATTAAAACTCAAGCCTATAAGCTCTTTTTATAGTAGTTGGAACACACCTCCTCAACGTTGGACAACTTCTAGTACTTGGTAAGCACACTCTCTCTTTGTATCTTTCCATATGGGACAAATTTCAATTTTAATATTTTACCAAAATCAAACAATATTTGTTCTATACTAAGTTGGTAATTTATGATCCAGTAGGAGTGTGAAGCTTCCATGAAAAGGAGGAAGGAGAGGTCAAATCAAATGGTGCGGGGCTTTAGCAAATTAAAAAGATGGAGTAATTGGAGAGGGAATCAAGGGGAAAGTGGGCCCCATTATGCTTTAATGCANAAAAAGGAAAAAAAAAAAGAGTAAATGAAAAATCACAATCAATTTGCAGTCTGAACCCTGCCCAATCTCACTCCTTCTTCAATACCCTCCACCCACCTTCATCACCTACTTTCTCTTATTTATTGCTCTCCCTCTTTTTATTTTCAAATTCTTTTAGAAGGTTGATTCATCTCGAATCGAACAAATATATTTTTAAATTACGAAATATGAGACGGAAATTCGACCGTTAGACCCTAAAAAATATCTATGGTGTCAGAGTTATGCTTAGGTTCGAAGAAGGAAGCTAAATTTGTTTTAGTTACGTTTTTAATAAGGAAGTTTTTAAAAATAACGACAATGACTATATTGAGTTTTTAAGTAGAAGTTTATGCATTAAAACTTAAATAGATGTTGCTTAGTAGCGAGTTTATATTAAGTAGTGGATTCTTGAATCTAATAGATTTATCTCATTTGAAATTTAGATGAATTTAAAGGTTAATGATTCGATTACTCACTCCATGATGGATGAATTTAGAAAAAGAAAAAAAGTAGCTTCGAACTCGTCTTCTAACTTTGTTGTTGAAGCTATAGTGCCTTGGTCAGTTAACGTACGCTCAAATTGGTTGATTTAGAGTTAGTACATCTAAGAAAATTACTAATACCTTGACCAATTAAATTATGTTTGTATCAACTAGTATTAATCTAAATTGATTATATTAAGACTATGTTTGAAAGTTAAATCGTAGTTCGTCCAATAAGCACTTCAAAGTTATTGTTTTAAAAAAGATAGAATTAAACACCAAAATGATATATTAAACAAGTTTTACTAAATTATATTTTATTTATTGAAATATTATTTTACTTAAAACATTCATTCTAGAAGCACCTAATCACACCCATAAAATTATAGTTATTTTGATTGTTTAGTCTCTTACTTTATTTTACGAAACTAATTTCTAATATTTGAAATGACTTCTCAACTTGTTAAAATGTTTTTAAAAGATTAATGCATGTGCCCTTTTATATAAATATATATTAATGCACGATTTTGACGAAAGTGACACACTGGCAAATAATTTAGTGTGTTGTTCGATCACGTACACTCTAAAACTTAATTACGTTAGAATTAATTCTATGCACGATTTTGATCGAGATGATACGCTAGCAAAGAGTTTGGCGTGGCGCTCAACCATGTACACTCCAAAACTTAAGTTAGAATTAAGTATGAGTTAATGTCGATGTAAGTTTATATAGAATGCAAGAGATTGTACCTTTTAAGAATGTGACTTCGTATTTTAAAGGATTCTTTGCCCATAGTAGAAAATCATCTGATGGCATAATTGTCCATAAAATGTTAGTAGATTTCCTATCAATCATAATCATCCCTTAAGTCGAGCCAGCTCTACTTAATTTATCATGGGTTCTTTCCTCTCTTCTTTGGAGTGTTCGAGCCAAATGGGTTAGAGCCTACATGTTTCATATAAAAACATTTTCCTTTTTAATATCACGACATATGACGATTAAAACAATAATAATAGTAATAAATGGAGCCACTTAAAAGACGACATAAATTTATTTAGAGCTTTTATTATGAATAAGTTTTGAGATTATGAAGAAGTTATTTCTCATAGTTTATTCCAATAGGAAAAAGTTCATTTAATAGTTTTCATTATTTACTGCCTCTTACTCAATTAGTAATAATTATTGAAACACATTATTAAATATACATGTTAAGTCGTTAAAAATATAAAATAATGAATTTTTCAATAGTCCATATAAGATTAGATTCGCTATCTAGTTATGACATATATGGAAGGTTGCACATATTATTTAAACTAAACAAAAATTAGATATATGTTATGATATTGTCTCACCCGTACTCCATTTAGTTATCAAAGTAACTCGTGGATTATAAAATGTTAGGTAGATTGCCACCATAGTTTGAATCGATTCCCCTAAGCCACTTACTATTTACATTGGCACCACTAAGTCAATCCATGATTCAAGTAAAAATTTATTTAATATATATATATATTGCTTCTCATTTGGTAATCATTTCTTCTTTTTCATCCTCTAAAATTTTGAATTAAACATGGAACTTTATATATTATTTATTTTTTTAATATTTATTATACATTTTATAAGTAAAGAATGATAAAACAATACTTTTATTTATATTTAAAAAATAGAAGCGAGAACAAGAAATAATAAATTTGAATTTATTATTTTCAAAATGTTTACACGATTGTAGAAATATTTCTTAAAAATGAGAAATGAAAAAATAAAAATAGTTATCCAACTCTAATAACTGAAAGCAATAAACAAAAAATAAGAACCTTGCCTAATAAATTCTAAATAAACAAATTTAAAAGTTTTGAGATTAAACTCGCAATTCAATGCATCATTCACCAACAAAATTGGAACAATTTATAACATTATGAATTTAGGATTAGATTACACTATTTGTTATAATTTTCTAATTATTTAAAATATAAAAAATGTATGCAAGCAAGCCAAGAGAGAGAGAGAGAGAGTACTCAATTAATAAAAATTTCCAGGGAAATAAAAAAGAACACAGAGAGAATCTTTTTCATTAAAAACAATTAATAAATTCCACACTGACACACAAATTAATTTTAATAATAATAATTTCATTTTCAGGAACTATCCATTTGAAAATTCTCGAGCCTCCACTCCACTCCATAATTTAAAAAATAAAAATTAAAAAACCTCGCAGCTGTGGGGTCCCCGCTGGAAAGGATGCCACGTCAGCGTCCAACTCAGATCCCCTGGATCTAAGCCACGTGCCCCACGACTTATTTAATTGTCTTGACCTACCTACGTGGTCGCCCTTAATTAAAACTCAAATCCGTTGTCGCGAGAGAAAAAAATTACAGAGGAGAGAGAGAGAAGAGAGAGAGAGCAAACCCCGGCGGGCGGCGGCGGCGACGGCGACGGCGGCGAATGTTCCGGCGAACGTTACTCTACCAATTCTCCGCTCATCTCCTTGGATTCTCTTTCCTGAAACTGTAACAAGTCCCTTCCAAGTGTTCGTCTCTGGACCTCACTGAGTCACTTTAACGGTTTTCTGCTTTTTCTCTTCAAGAATCTTCGTCAACTCCGAGAAATTTTTTTTTCCAATGGCCTTTCATTCGTGAATGCGGCTAGTTTTCTTTGCACTGTAGGATTTGGGTTTTCTAACATTTCTGGACCTTCGTAGGAGTTCTTTTCGTTTTCTCGGAGATTTTTCTTGTATGTATGTTATATAGCGAACTAGAATCGAGTAATTACTCTCAGTCTGAGCCGGTTTGAGTCATTTGCAAGAGAAATATCCGAGGTCTCTGTAATTTGTGGTGTTTAGTTCAGTATCTTCCTTCTATGGCTTTCTTGTGTTGTTTTCGTCTTCGAATTTAGCGGACAATGCGAGCATTGTTGAAGATGAAATGGCTGCTTGAGTTCTTCGTCTTGTTCGTTTTGGCTCCTCTCTGCGTAAGATGTCTAAACCTACCTCTAAACGACGACGTTTTGGGCCTGATAGTGTTTAAAGCCGCTGTTCAAGATCCGAAGCAGAAGCTCGCGACCTGGGACGAAGAGGACGATAGCCCCTGCAACTGGACCGGCGTCAAATGCAGTCCCAGATCCAACCGCGTCGTCGAGCTCAACCTTGATGGCTTCTCTCTCTCGGGTCGGCTCGGTCGGGGGCTTTTCCAGCTGCAGTTTCTGCAGAAATTGTCGCTCTCGAAAAACAATCTTACTGGAAATATTAGCCCTAATTTCGCTCGAGTCGACAATCTACAGGTGATTGATTTGAGCGGGAATAATTTCTCTGGGACAGTTCCGGAGGATGTTTTTCGTCAATGTGGGTCTTTGAGAGTTCTTTCCTTGGCAAACAACAAATTTTCCGGGAACATTCCTGATAGTTTTAGCTCGTGTACAAGTCTGATTGCAGTTAACTTGTCCTCGAATCAGTTTTCGGGTCCTTTGCCTTCTGGGATTTGGTCTTTTAGCGGGCTTCGATCTTTGGACTTGTCTGATAATGCTGTGGAGGGTGAAATTCCGAAGATAATCGAGAATTTTCATAATCTGCGGACTCTTAACTTGAGGAGGAATAGATTTTCTGGGCAGCTTCCTGATGGTATTGGGAATTGTTTGCTTCTGAGGTCTATTGATCTTAGTGAGAATTCTTTCTCTGGGAATCTTCCTGAAACTATGCAGAAACTTGTTTTGTGTGGTAATCTAATTTTAAGCGGGAATTTGTTCGAAGGAAACGTTCCAGAGTGGATAGGAGAGATGAAGAGCCTGGAGACTCTGGACTTCTCTGGGAACAATTTTTCTGGCCACATTCCAACTACAATGGGGAACCTTCAATATCTAAAAGTACTGAATCTCTCTTCAAATGGCTTTACTGGTAACTTTCCGGGGTCTGTGACGAAATGCCAAAGCCTTTTGGCCGTAGATTACAGTCATAATTCAATCACGGGTACTCTTCAGGCGATTGGAAATTTAGGCCAGCTGCAGTTTCTAAACCTGTCTGGGAATTCTTTTGTTGGTCCCATTCCAGAGACTATTGGAGATCTGAAAGCTTTGAGCATTCTTGATTTGAGTAGAAATAGGCTGAACCAGAGCATTCCCGAGGCAATTGGAGGGGCCATGTCTCTAATGGAGCTGAAGCTGGATGAAAACTTTCTAGGGGGTGGAATTCCTGCTTCAATTGGGAACTGTTCTTCCCTTACAACTTTGTAAGCTTCCTTTCCTCGTTTACTTTTCTACTTTTGATTGTTTAAATGTTCATATGCATTTTCAGAGCGTATCCGTAACTAGTTTCTTGGGATTTTTTTTAATTATTTTTAGGCTTACTGATATGTTTCAGAAACCATTTACGGCATTGCAATTTGGAGAGAAACTAAAAATAACAAGGCATTTGCTTGATATATCTACTTGTTTAAGAAGCATCAAAACTTTTATCTTCTGTACATTGGATTGTAGTTATCTTACAACATTAGCCCGCTTCTTTTATTTTGTTTTGAAGTACTTATACTTGAAAGGCTGGTTAGAATCTGGAGGTTTCATAGCTGAATGTTTCTGTAGACAAAGGAAGCAATATGTTCTAGTTTTGTCTAATATCTTTGATACATTTATAATCTTTGTCAAAAATTTGCAGGTTCATATCACACAATAACTTAACCGGCCCAACACCGATGGCATTAGCAAAACTCTCTTATCTTCAAAATGTTGACTTATCCTTTAATAACCTCAATGGAACCCTTCCAAAGCCATTGTCTAATCTTCCAAACCTTCTTGTGTTCAATATTTCTCACAATAACCTTGAGGGCGAGCTGCCTGGCGGTGGATTCTTTAACACCATTTCCCCTTCATCCGTTGCTGGAAATCCGTCCCTATGTGGGTCTGTGGTTAAGAAGTCTTGCCCTTCTGTCCTTCCGAAACCCATTGTTCTTAATCCCAACTCTACTTCAGATTCCACTTCCAATTCCCTGCCTCCAAGTCTAGGAGGTCACAGAAGAAATAGAAACATCCTCAGCATTTCTGCACTCGTTGCCATTGGTGCAGCTGCCTTCATCATCATTGGTGTAATATCGATCACCATCCTCAACCTTCGCGTTCAGTCGCCCATGTCGTCTTCATCTGCAGCTGCGCTTGCATTATCTATTGGGGACGATTTCAGTCATTCCTCCAGTCCTGATGCGAATTCTGGAAAGCTTGTGGTGTTATCAGGAGAACTCGACTTCAGCACAGGAGCACATGCCCTGCTCAACAAGGATTGTGAGCTCGGGCGTGGAGGATTCGGAGCAGTTTATCATACTGTTCTGCGGGACGGACACTCGGTTGCAATCAAGAAGCTTATAGTTTCAAGCCTTGTCAAGTCTCAAGAGGATTTTGAGAGGGAAGTTAAGAAGTTTGGGAAAGTCAGGCACCAAAATCTCGTGGCACTCGAAGGTTATTATTGGACTCCCTCGCTACAGCTCCTTATATACGAATTTGTCTCCGGAGGTAGCTTGTATAGGCTGCTTCACGAAGCATCGGACGACAATGTCCTATCGTGGAACGAGAGGTTCGACATAATTCTCGGCACAGCGAAAGGCCTGGCTCACTTGCATCAATCAAACACAATCCACTATAACATAAAATCCAGCAACATTCTTATTGATTGCAATGGTCAACCTAAGGTGGGAGATTATGGTCTAGCAAGATTGCTGCCAATGTTAGACCGTTATGTTTTGAGTAGCAAGATCCAGAGCGCACTGGGTTACATGGCGCCAGAGTTTGCTTGCAGGACAGTGAAGATAACTGAAAAATGTGACGTGTATGGCTTTGGAGTCTTGATTTTGGAGGTAGTTACAGGGAAGAGACCCGTAGAATACATGGAAGACGACGTTGCAGTCCTCTGCGACATGGTACGAGCAGCAGTGGAAGAAGGAAGGGCTGAAGAATGCATTGACGGGAAGCTGAGGGGAAATTTCCCTGCTGAAGAGGTCATCCCCGTGTTGAAACTAGGCTTGATCTGCACCTCCCATGTACCATCAAATCGGCCCGACATGAGAGAAATGGTCAAGATATTGGAGATGATCAAATGCCCATCTGAATTACAAGAAGAATTTGGGATAAACTAAGGCAACAACACAACCACAGATTAAACCGGGACTCGCCTGGGATTGTATGGTGAAAAAAGAATCCAGTGTGCTTATCTGAAGATGCCAATGGACTGAAAAACCGTTAGATGAAGTTACCATCTGTACCTTTGCTTTGTTACTGTAATTTCTGTTCTTTAACAGTCACTGGATTCACTTTCACCAATCTTCCTATTTAGTTTCTTAGCTTTCTTTCTGGGCCTAATCTGAGGCAACTTAAGCAGATTCTCTTATTTTTAAACTCTCTCTCTCCTCTCTCTTTCTAAGGCCAACTTTTTTCTTTTTTGGCTTTGTTACTCAGCTTTTGCTGTTGTTGGCAGCTTTCTGTTGGGGAAAAGACAGGGTTTGACTTGTCCCCATTTGTCAAAATTGTGGGTTTGTAAATGGAAAAAGGTACAATGGAGAAACAAAGTCAGAAGGAATACAGAGACCACAGGTAAAAGATTCTCAATCCCACTTGAAAACAAAAGAATGAACCCAAACTGGTGAGTAAAATAATGTAAAAACAGGAGAGAAGACAGGTTTTGATAGGAAAATGAAAAAAAAAGGACTGTAGAAATTTACAACTCCTTGCCTTGGAATTGAAGATAAAACAATGGTGTTTTTTCAATATCTAATCACCACCTATGTCTTAATTGTCTCCCAATTTTCTATTCAACTCATTTGTCTTTTCTCTGTTGTTCTTCAAATCTTCTCTGAATTTTATGCTTATTATATTCTAGTTCTCAAGATCTTAAACATTGGATAGAAGATTGCTATTTTAGTTTTTGTCATTAACTTTTTGTCTTCTATTCGTTCACATGATCAATAAGTATCTATGGTGGTGGGATAGTCCAAGTGGTCAATGAAGGCGAATGTAAATAGCAAATGATTTAGAGGAAATGAGTTTAAACCATGGTAGCCACCTACCTATGATTTAATATTGGGAAAATGTTTGAAGGCACATGTAGATTAAATGTTGGGTTGGGAAGCAGATTTAGATTTTTTTAATGGCAATTACTAGTTTTTATGCAAAGTTTAGTGTTTATGGACCAAAACAAGATTTAGTATCGTTCTATTTATTGGTTATTTCAATGATAATTTCCATATTTGTAGTAGAGGGAGCAACAATAATAATGGAAATTAATGAGTATGGAAGAAAAACTTGTGAAAAATGGTTCTAAAAAGCTAAAAATTTAAAAGGGAAACAGTTGTTGGCATAGAGTAGAGGGTTGAATTGAGCAATGAGTTGCAGCACTTGCAGCTATATTAAGGGTTTTGTTGCCATTTTCTTGGGTAAATGCAAAAAGATGGGATTAGGTTAGAATATTAGGTAGCAATAGGCATTTAAATACAATTAATTCAATTATCAACCACATGGGCCTTTGGAATTCTTTGACATTGGAGAGAGAGGTGTTGCATATATTATACTTTGAAGGATTTTATTAAGAAAAACGTGAGAGAGAATATAAGATTTTGACTGAGGTTAAGCTAATAATTTAATAATTTAATGGTTAAAATATTATTTTAGTTATTTATTTTTAATTTTAGTTTATTTTTATCCATATACTCTCAAATTTTTCATTTTGATCTTTATACTTTTAAAAAATGACTATTTTAGTTCATATTTGCAAAATTTTAATATCAATTCTACATATAACATAAACTCTTTAATATAAAGTCATTGTTACACTTTAAGAAATATATTGAGTGTAATGTTGTGTTGAAATTGTGATAGAAAAAAGAGATTAAAAATAAAATTAAGTGACCGAAATGATACTTTTTTAAAGTACAGAGATCACAAAAAATATAAGACCAACATAATATTTTAGTCTAATTTAATCCATGAACTTTTTAGTATTTTGTCTATTTTAGAAGCACAACAAATTATCACGGAGACCCACATGAATTACAGGTGTTCATTTAAGTTCCCGTACTAGCTAAATTTCCTACTAAATTTCGAAGGGATTGGAGTGGAATTCGCAGGAATAATACCCCACTTATTATTGTTATTTTTAAAAATGAATTTTCAACTAAATAATTTCTTTTTAAAGAAAATTCTAAAAAAATGTTTAATTTCCAAKGATGAATCCCTATTTACATTGTTAAATCCTCCTTGTAAAAGAGTAAAAGAGAAAAATTAAATCCTTAGAGTTTTCTAAATAAATATATATATGAGTTGAGGRTGGAKACAGAAAACATATTATCGGGCTTTATAGGAAGTCTAAATGAGGATTCTCTACCCCGTCTAGAGCAAGTTCCCACAAGCGTTCTTTTAAGTGAGGTAAATGAACATCCCTRCCCTAAATGGGACGAGAATTGTGTATARACAKGAATTTTTGTGGAGACCAAGAATGATTTGAGGAATAGAGACAGGGATGATAAAACATTCTTGATTCCTGCCATTGCCTTGTTAACACACTCTTAGAATCTTTGAACTTTAAAAGATTTCAATTTTATCTCAACATTTTAACTAGACTTCTATTACTCTTTGTAGTTAATATTATTGAAAAAATGTTGATGTATTCAACTATCTRTAACAATCATTTGGATGGAAGATTTGATTTTCTCCGTAAAGATTTGGAAGTTCATAATTTCATATGGTGAATTATTGCATATGAGATGTCCTACACTTGTCTTGTATTGTGAAGGTCTTGATTGCCATATGATGGTTTGAAAATTTTGCATGATTCGATTGCTAGTGTACGAAATTTTGTAAGTTATGCTCGATCTTTCCCTAGAAGGTTGAAAAAATTTGTAGACTATGTAGGACATGAGATGATTGAATCTAACAATTGCTTATTTGGATGTATTTACTAACTCGAATTTCCACAAATACTTGATGCTCAATCAATAATTAGAATGTGAAGATGAAGATTATTTTTCAATTAAAGAGGCTACCAACTTTTGAGGATGGAGAAGAATGTTAGAACCTTTGTCAAAATTTTTGAAAATGATATATGATCTTATATTCTAGGTTAATGGTTCATTTTTGGTGATTTTTTTAATTATTCGGGCTAGTTTACTCGCACTTCAATTTAGGGACAATCGTACGTAGGATATTAAATCCTAGATAGGTGACCACTATTTTGAACTCGATGACTTCTATTATATACTTTCACATCAATTTTGTTGGATGYTGTACCTCTAAAAAGCTGAGCCAAAATGCAAATTCTATGCCATGTTTTAGGAGGAAATTTCTACCAATTTCTTAGATGATGGGGAAGGTAGAAAATTTTCTCCTTCTAAATTTTTACTAATTAGTTAAGTATTAAGTCATATAAGTTTATTATAAGTTAATTTAAAGATAGAAAGAGATTAAATTGAAAAAAAAAATTAATATATTAAAAACTAAAAAATAAGATAATGTTTTATATATATATATATATATATAGTCATGTTAATCACTTTAAAATAATCTTCCCACATAAGTTGTTTGTTAGTATTCATGTCAAACAAAAAAAAGTTGTAGTTTATATTTTTTTAGGTACTGATATTTTAATGTAATCATCATCTTTGTTATTCCATTCTATGAATTATGTAAATTAAACTGGTCTTGCAATTTTGGGGATGGATTTCGCTTATTCACTTGATTTTTAACTTTTCATATATGAATTATGAAGCAAGTCTTCTCTCTCGAGTGATTCAAACTACGCTTTACTTACCTTTAATAGTGATTCAAACTACATATTATTTATCTTTAAGAGGCTAAGAACATTTTTTTTAGTACAATAGGTGAGGATGAAGATTCGAACTCACGACCTCTTGATTGGAAATAGGTGCTTAAACCAATTGAATTATGTTTAGGTTKGTAAGAGACTAAGGTTCCGTTTACTTGCTCGCAATCGTAATCAAAGAATCGTAAGCAAAATTTTTATTAGATTTGATTATGTTTAYCAAAATAAATGAATAGGAATAAAACGTGGGATCCACTCCAAATTTTGGAATCACCCCAAAAAAATGCATAATTCCATTACACGCAAAATAACATTCCAATCTCATATAGACTCACGATTTTTTCCTTTCTTTTAKGGTTGTTTTTTCAACTGCTCGATTGCCGCTTTTCCTCTTCTTGTATTATAAAATTATTTAATTTTAGATTGAATTGGTAAAAGAAAGTTTATTATAATAAATAATGTAATAATAATATCAAATAAAGTCTAAATAAATACAAAATATATAATTTATTACTATTAAGTAAAATAATATAAGTAGATCTAAAATTATTATAAGTAATTATTTTTTTTCAATATAAAAAATTTCATAAAATYCTTTTTAATTAATGTAATTTTATATTAGTTATAAATATATAAGGGTATTTTGGTAATCGACATATGTCTGATTACGATTCTAGATGGATTTCAATTCCAGATATTCAAGTAAACAACATCAATGAAATAACATTTCCATTTCGATTGATTTTCATTACGATTGAGAGTAAGTAAACGGAACCTAAGAGTATATATGGAAAAAAAACAGAAGTCATTACTTTGAATTCAAAAAAATAGGAGTATAATTCAAATTTTAGTAGCAAAAACTCGTGCTAATAATAGTAAAATAGCACAGGAAAGAAAGAGACAAGAGAAAAGTTTCACTCGCCTTGGCCATTTAATTTATTATATTTTAATTGCTCCTGCGACTGTAACGATACAAAATATTAGATTCGTTCTCTCTTTTCGATCGAAGATTTATGACTAATTATGAGTGTTTTTTTTATTGGATGAGACTATTTTGGTGAGTATTATTTTTTTCAATTTTTTTGTTAGAGATTTTTAGGCACATTTAGGTATTAGAGCATTTGAAAGTTTTTTTTTTCTATTTAATTTTGTTTCTAGATTTTTATATTCTTATTTGTGAGTTTAACGTTTTAGGCAAGTTTTGATAACTATATATATATATTATTATTATTATGTTTTTGAAATTTTAGCTTATAAGCACTATTACTTGTCCTTTCCACCCGTTGTCTTAAACTTGATTTATTGCTGCCTTGTCTTATAAGCAATATTTTAGATTATAAACACTATTAATTCTTCAATTTTTGTACCAGTTCAAATACAATTATCCGTTGTTTCAACGGTAGAACGCCAGTTGAATACCATGAGGGTAAATACTAGTCTTAGCTATTTCAAATGCATAATATCATCTATTGCTCTAGTGACTTTTTTTTTTATCCAGAGTTTTTCGAGGAGTTTTAGCTCAAATACCAACTACGTGTTTCTGTGCTTTGATGTATATTTTTTTTTTCAGAAATGTTCCCAAAATCTAAAGTCAACTTAAAAAAAGAGTAGTTTTTAAAATCTTATTATTGTCTTTGAAATTTAGTTTAGAATTCCAATGTGTTTATCAGAACGATGAAAAAATATAAACAACATTGAAAAGAAGTAGAAGTAGGTATAATTTTTAAAAACAGAAAACTAAAAATGAAATCCTTATCCCATTAATGGTTTGATTTAAGTGTTTTATTAGTTGAATTTCATGTAATTATATAATTGGTTCGTGAAAAAATAWTAATCAATTTGGTCTCCCATGATTTTAAAGCTTTAATATGGTTACTATAATTCAGTCAAACTTGGAAAACAATCCCAATTGCTATCAAGTTGACATGTTTTATATTACGGAGTAACGAGCTAATTTTTTATTTTTAGGCGATCTCATATTAAGGTTTAAGCCAATTATAAAATAAAGAAAAAAAATATGAGTTTCAAGTGGGTAAAAATAATTTAGGAACAATTTTATAAAATTTAATCCAATTAGAACTTTTAAACCAAAGGACGAAATTAAAATAAAATCAAAATTAGCTCAAATCAATCATTGGGATTAAATTTGAAAATTAACATTTTTTTTTTCCTTGTAAGAACAAACCATCTMTCAGTCAAATTCTAAGATGGAAAAGAGAGAGAAATGGAGAAAGGGGTTGCTGAAATTTCTTCCAATTTCCAATTTTGTTTGTATTCTTCCAAAGAACACAGCCATCTGACCAAAACCCAGAAGACCCTTCTCACAGAACCATAACAAGAACCTCACTCTCTGAAATTCATCCAACTCCCAATTTCAACTTCCCCCTTTTCGATTTTCCCAATTTCGAGTTCATTCTCTCTCAAATTCCACTCTCCAAAACCAACCATGGCCGATTCGCCGTGAAGACGAATTCAGAATTCAAACCCTGCCCCCAATAATGTCCTCCGAAGACATGAATGGGCTCAGCTCCCAGCTCGTCTTCTCCGACGAAGCCATGCCCTTCAATTGCGCCAACACGCCGCAGCGCCGAGTCGGCGACCCGGGTCCCAAAACCCGCGAGCTCTGCGGTTTCATGGACGACAAGCTCTTCCCTGTGGACCGCGACCGGTTCTTCGCGCACCAGGGCGCGGATTTCCGCCGTAGTGTGTTCAGTGACAGCCGGAATTGGAATGGGAATGGGAGTGCGAGAAGTGGGAGTGGGAAAGGATCGGAGGAGGAAGACGATGATGATGATGATGATGACCGGTTCTTCGCGCACCAGGGCGCGGATTTCCGCCGTAGTGTGTTCAGTGACAGCCGGAATTGGAATGGGAATGGGAGTGCGAGAAGTGGGAGTGGGAAAGGATCGGAGGAGGAAGACGATGATGATGATGATGATGATGAAGAAAATGAGGTTGATGATGGTGATGATGATGTTGAGGGACTCGTATCTATGGATGATGTCAATAAGTGCAATAAAATGGCCAACCCCAACAGCAGCAACAGTGATAGAAACGATCAGAGTAGTGGCGGCTTAAAAAATGGGACGAACAAATTGGGAAATGGGAAGCCTAAGCACCATTCTTCTTTTGGTAAGAAGTTTGTACTCTCTCAACTTTCATTACCCAAAAGGAAAATTTATAGAATGCTTGTTTGGATCTTCTGCTCCAATTTGGAATGTTTTGTTTGACTTTTCTTATGGGTTTTTAGGTGGAACCCTGTTGGTCAAGGATGGAATGGTTGGCCCTTCAGCCAGTAACGCAGGAGCAACGCAGAGTGAGAATCATCCTCAGGCAAGGTTGGGGAATTACCCTAATGCGGTTACAATTGCAGAACCTGATGGTGATGCTTATTATTCCCAATATTTGCAAGGCACTGAGGGGTCTGCTTCTGGCCAGAAGGATTTGGGTATGGAAAATGGATGTGGGTTTAATGGGAGAAGGGATGCTTCAATTTCGAGCGAGCCCGGAGAGTCTCTGAGAACAATTCTCGCAGACCCTGTGACGTAAGTTCTTAATGTTTCCATTGTGTTCCAATATATTTGGTTGAGCTTGTAAACCATGTGGAAGTATGAACTTTCTACTTGCAATTTGTGATAAYGATATGTTCTTACATTCTCTCGTTTCTTTCGGTCCACATTCTGCAATGAAAATTKTACTTTTTGACTTATTTCTTATCCCAATATCTTCTGATGATATATTTACTTAGGTTCGTTTTTCTGATTGGAAACAGGGGTGCTCTTATGGATGATGCAATGATATTACCGTGTGGGCATTCCTTTGGTAGTGGTGGAATACAACATGTTCTTAGAGTAGTGAGTTACTGGCAAGAACACTGCTCATCTATACTGTTAAAATTTTGTTTTCATTTATACCATTCATCAGTTTTCTTTTATCACGCTAAAACATAAGAGATGCATGAAACAGTTCAGTGTCGAGTATCCTTATGTTTCATTTCGATTGCAAGCATAGAAACTTCAACATATTGTAAAGTTGGCTTTTGATTTGAAACTTTACTAGGCCTTTGTAGCAACCCATGCTGATTTAGTTGCAGAACTTCATCAAGCTGTCCTGTATTGTAGTTGTAATTGGAAGAAGGGTCCAACTGAGACTTAGAAGTATCCTGGAGACTTGGTTGAGGTTCTTTGCAAAATCCATATCAAATACTAGCTATTAGTCAAGTGGAATTTGCATACTTTCTGTACTTTATTACGAGTGCCCTTTTTTCATGCCCGCTTGTTTCAGTGAGATTTATATGAGGATATGAGTGTATAGTTTGCAGGAATTGTAAAAAATATACCAAATTTGCTATAAAAATGAGTCTGCTACCTTATATGCTGCTGCACTGCTTCAACTCTTAATATTTTGACATGAGAGGGGTTTGCATCTACAAGTTCATCACTTTTCAATAATTGGACTCCATGTGTGGCACCATTGAACTTATGAACTTGTGCTTTTCAGTACATATGTAAAACTTGGAGACGTGTCTCTTAGCTGAGGGAAATCAAGTAATTTGCCTAGATGACAAGATTTAGTCTTAGTGAGTTTGTCGTGCATTTTCTTAATTTCAGTGATAGGTGCTCGCTTTCTGTTGCAGCATTTGTTTTACCCGACTAGTGCACCTTGATATGCATTGCTATTTGGCTGCTCTATTGATTTTAACAAGTTTATTATTTTGATGATCTTGGTCTCATTGTGTTTCTGTATTTCTCTTGATGTCTTCCCAGAAATCTTGTTACTCGTGTTCTCAGTCGGTTTCTGAAGACTCTATTGCTCAGAACTTATGTGAGTAAAATTTGTCTGCTCAAGTAATTTTTTCCATCTCTTTATTACCGTTTGTAGAAAACTGGACGTTTGAAGAATAGATTGATATAGTTTTATTTAAAGGTTACTTTCGAAATGGGGAACTTGTCTTGATCCTTTATTTCATGTTATGGTATTTTCATCTTCAGCTCTTCAAGCTGCAGTGCAAGCATTCCGCAGGGAAGAAGAAATACTGTTTTACCGCTCACCAAAAAGGAGAAGGGAGAGGTTTGAGCAGGTATTTCCTTTATATCTCGGACTTTAGCATCTTAAGCCTGATAGTGAGATACTAGAACCAAATGTGGCGGGTGGTAATTGGCATTAGGAGATTTCAGTTTCCTCCCTTCTTTCTTTCTAGTCTTCCCTATCACCAAGACGCTACATTTGGTTCACTTGTGATAAGTTCTACTTGTGCATTCATTTTTGTCACTCTTTCGCTTCAGAGTGCACAATGTTCTCATAGTGGAACTGCTTCCAAGTTTTCAATAATCATTCCGGTGTTTGCCAACGTAGGACAAGGGTGGTTATGGTGATTTGACTCTCATGGATACTCCAAGGGGTCGAGGTGTTCAGTTTCCTTTTGTCGTGACAGATCGGGTAATTATCAAGGTGAGCAGAAAACTGTACTCTCATTTAGTCCTATATTATCAAATACTGAAACTAATATCAACTAAAATGGATCAGGGGAACAAGAGGACACCACAGCGTTTTGTGGGACGTGAGGCTGTTGTTACAACACAGTGCTTGAATGGATGGTTTGTCATTCTTTTCTCTGATTCTCAATACTTTTGCCTCATTCTTGTCCAATACCCCGGAGAAATAAATTGTTTCCTGATAATCAGTAGGTTTAAATTCTTTCCATTCTATAGGGACAAGTGTTTGAAGTCATGGAACTTTTCGTACCTATTCTATTCGATAAGCGTTTGAAGCATGTCATGTAGTAGGTTAGAGGACAGATTTCCAAATGAGTTAAATGATGAATACAAGATTAACAATAAAGACTAAATAGTTTTCTATACATAGTCTAGGGATTAGAACATGACRTTTGAAAGACTTGGAAGGAATCAATTTAACCCGTGATGGCCGACKACCTAGAATTATATCCTACGAGTTTCTTTTTGGTAATCAAATATAGTAGGGTTAGTCAATTGTCCTATAAAATTAGTCGAGATGTGTACAAATTGGAAGTATCACACCATAGCATTTGGAAGTAAAAGGAGAATAAAATATAACATTTGAAAGTTGGACCATAAATAAGAAAGTTCTAAGTTATAGAATAGGATTTAAACTATCTTTAGTGATCTAATATAACTTGGTCAACAATGTATCCACTTCTGTTACACTGCAGGTATGTGGTGAAAACACTAGACAATGCAGAGAGTGTAAAGTTGCAGTACCGCTCGCTTGCAAAGGTTCCAAACGATGCAGCATCAAAACCGATACCAAGGAAGATCGCGCCGAATTGGCTCTAGCCTTGCAATATAGATTATAGGAACCCGAGTTCAAGATGCATTACGAGCCTAGTTTTTCGAGGCTCACTATGTTGTATTTATAACACACAAAAGAGAGAGTAATATGTAGGTGTTGTTTTGTTGTAAATATGTGTTAAAAGAAGACAATTTTTCCATAGTTGGGTTTGAAGAGAGGTAGAAGAATGAGTTTTGAGATAGAAATGCTTGAGGTTTTCTTTTATCAAGTGATTAGGATTGTATTTAAGTAAAAGAGCTCACCTAAATTTTGAAACTTATTGGTAATGGAATTTTGGTAGTGTGTGGTTTGGAGGCTTTTTGGTACGATTAGTATATATATATATATTTTGGAATTTTTTCAATTTAGTCCCTATTATTTAAAAAATTTAATCTCTTATGTTTCAATGTTTTTTTAATTTAGTCCATTCACTATGCTAAATGTTAAAATTGATTAATGTTAAATTTATTTGACATAAAATTTAATGATTTGGTGGAAATTTAGAGGAGAAAAATGGTGATATARGAGAGGAAGGTCTCTAATTTTTTCAAATTTGTAGAAATTTTGATTTTTTTTTTCTTTTTTCTCTCTCTCTAAATGTATAACAATTCAAAATCTGTCGTGTAATCATAAGTTTATCATCAATCAATTTTAACATTCATGGATGGTGGACTAAATTGAAAAATGTTACAACATGAGAGATTACTTTTTTTCCATAAAAATTAACAAGAAAATAAATAAAGAAAATTCGGGAAGGGAAAAAAGTGGAACGGTATTATAAAACAATATGCAAAGATGAAAAAATATAGAAAGTTGTTCTATTTCTTTTTCTGCAAATATAAATACTAATTTAATAAGATAAGAGTTAAAAGGAATTGTATGTAACACATAATTTAGGTGAGAGTTGGAAATAATGTTGAAATACAAACCCTAAATTTTTAAACAAAATTTCATTTTTCTATTAAAGAAAATTTAATTGGATAGTGAAATTTTTTAAATTATTTTTCATTTGAAATGTTCTTAGAATAATTTTTAATTAAAAGGTTTCAAGTTTCGAAAGTTAAAAT